GAGAGAGAGAGAGAGAGAACTCACCTACCTCGTCGGTGTAGATGGTGGTGGCGGTGGAGCTTCGAAATCGAAATCGAAATCAGAGATTCAGATGAAATCGAAATCAGAGAAGGCGTAAGGAACTTCGAAATCAAAATCGAAACCGATCCGTTGATTTCTGCTGGAAGAGATTAGGGCATCTGTTTAGAGAGAGAGAGAGAGAGAGAGAGAGCGAACGATAGACTGATGAGTGAGTAAAAGATTAGGGCATCCTCCTGATGAGTGAACGAGTGTATTTACCAGCTCGCCAGAGAGAGGGCATTCGAAGACGTTTTTCAACGCCTTCAAATAGTTAAACGGTGCCGTTTTAATATTGAACAAAAACGACGGTTAAAAAACGCCGTTAAATAGTATAAAATGTGGCGTTTCATAAAACGTCGTAAAAGAAACGTCGTCAAAACCTGTAATTCTTGTAGTGACTAAAATGAAATTTTGTGAAAGTACTGGAATATTAATTGTAATGAATCATTTTTGTGTTGTTGTAGGTTAAAATTTAAACATTAAAGGATCAAAATGAACAGCTTATAAATTAGGAGTTAAATTAACACGATTTAAAAAGAATCGAAATGACATAAGTTTCATATTTTGAAGACTAGAAATATAATTAACCGTAAAAGAATGTTGGAGGGGCTACCAACTATAACAATATTCTTTGGGATGATCAAAAGGGACCTTACTGGCTAGGAAGAAGGACATGCGATGAGATGAGATGAGATGATGGGCCAACAAAACGGGTGTGCGCTAAACGGGTTTGGCAAAGTAGGGATCGGGGGAATTTTATGCACTCCTCAAGAAAGGCTTGACTTGTAGTTTGAACCCTACAACACGGTGAACAAAGGTAAATGGAAATTGAGTCACTCTCATAAAAGCTCAAACCCAGAGTCACTTGTTCGTTAAACCCAGTGAGAGTAATCTCTCACCGGCTAAACTACCAACCTTTTTTGATGTTTTCTTTACTGATACACAAATTAAACTCAAACCCAAGAGTCACTTATTTTTTTAATTGGTCGATTTCACTCTAATCTTAGATTGGTTTTAGGCACGGACTTGCCGAACATCGCAATTAGCTGAGCGTTGTCATGGACAAACAGGAGGCGAATCAACAAAGTAAGTATATATTTGCTGCCAGATATCAAACGACCTAATTTTTGTTTTTATTTGTCTTTATTTTTATTTTTATGGTGAATCAAGTGGTCTAAAATTAAACAAATTGTCTCAAACCATTAATTGTGTGGATGTATCGAATGTCAGGCCACACAGTATGATTGTATTTTGGGTCTGCAGATGCGTAGTATGAATTTTGTATGTAAGCCATTTATGTAAAACGATACGTATCAATCAGATAATTCAAATCTTTTTTTTTTTTCTTTTTTCTTTGGCTAATTGTCTATTTTGATTCTTATCATCATCCAGAGAAGGTGGATAGCAACACCCTAAATTTTGGCGTCTTACTTCCTCAGTTCATACACTTTCATCGATGGCGTCTTACAATTTTATCTTTTAGATAAAACGTAGATTTAATCCTAAAGTATGCCTTGTTTTTTTACTTTAAGTCCATTAAATTTTAATTTTATTAGTTTGGTCATCAAAATTATCATTTTGAATCAATTTGGTCTTTAACGTGCTTTAACATATTTATGAATAAAAAATAGTATTGATTTCTAAAATATGAATTTCTTGTCATTTTAGTTCTTCAAGTTTAAATTTTATCATTTTAATCGTCAAAGTTGCCAAATTGAGTTAGGACCAAATTGACTCAAATTGAGGACCAAAATGACAATATTTAAAACTTAAGAGACTAAATGACAAGAAATACATACTTTAAGGACCAAAACTGCATTTTATTCATCTTTTGTTATCAGAAGTTGAACCTAAGATCAAATGAGAGAGAGAGAGAGAGAGAGAACTCACCTACCTCGTCGGTGTAGATGGTGGTGGCGGTGGAGCTTCGAAATCGAAATCGAAATCAGAGATTCAGATGAAATCGAAATCAGAGAAGGCGTAAGGAACTTCGAAATCAAAATCGAAACCGATCCGTTGATTTCTGCTGGAAGAGATTAGGGCATCTGTTTAAAGAGAGAGCGAGAGAGAGAGAGAGAGAGAGAGCGAACGATAGACTGATGAGTGAGTAAAAGATTAGGGCATCCTCCTGATGAGTGAACGAGTGTATTTACCAGCTCGCCAGAGAGAGGGCATTCGAAGACGTTTTTCAACGCCTTCAAATAGTTAAACGGTGCCGTTTTAATATTGAACAAAAACGACGGTTAAAAAACGCCGTTAAATAGTATAAAATGTGGCGTTTCATAAAACGTCGTAAAAGAAACGTCGTCAAAACCTGTAATTCTTGTAGTGACTAAAATGAAATTTTGTGAAAGTACTGGAATATTAATTGTAATGAATCATTTTTGTGTTGTTGTAGGTTAAAATTTAAACATTAAGGTCATGTTTGATTCACAAGATTAATAGTGAAGTATTAATAATCCTATTAAATTAGTGTGGTATTCACTATCCAATTGGATTAATATCCATTGGATTAATAATCCCACCCCTACCCCATTACTAATAATCCTACAAATTTGTTGGATTAATTATCCATTGGATTAATAATCCTAAACCAAAATCTTAAAACAAACATAGGATAATTGGGCCCACAGATTAATAATCCTAATCCCATGCTCTAATCCACCCAATCAAACATGCCCTAAAGGATCAAAATGAACAGCTTATAAATTAGGAGTTAAATTAACACGATTTAAAAAGAATCGAAATGACATAAGTTTCATATTTTGAAGACTAGAAATATAATTAACCGTAAAAGAATGTTGGAGGGGCTACCAACTATAACAATATTCTTTGGGATGATCAAAAGGGACCTTACTGGCTAGGAAGAAGGACATGCGATGAGATGAGATGAGATGATGGGCCAACAAAACGGGTGTGCGCTAAACGGGTTTGGCAAAGTAGGGATCGGGGGAATTTTATGCACTCCTCAAGAAAGGCTTGACTTGTAGTTTGAACCCTACAACACGGTGAACAAAGGTAAATGGAAATTGAGTCACTCTCATAAAAGCTCAAACCCAGAGTCACTTGTTCGTTAAACCCAGTGAGAGTAATCTCTCACCGGCTAAACTACCAACCTTTTTTGATGTTTTCTTTACTGATACACAAATTAAACTCAAACCCAAGAGTCACTTATTTTTTTAATTGGTCGATTTCACTCTAATCTTAGATTGGTTTTAGGCACGGACTTGCCGAACATCGCAATTAGCTGAGCGTTGTCATGGACAAACAGGAGGCGAATCAACAAAGTAAGTATATATTTGCTGCCAGATATCAAACGACCTAATTTTTGTTTTTATTTGTCTTTATTTTTATTTTTATGGTGAATCAAGTGGTCTAAAATTAAACAAATTGTCTCAAACCATTAATTGTGTGGATGTATCGAATGTCAGGCCACACAGTATGATTGTATTTTGGGTCTGCAGATGCGTAGTATGAATTTTGTATGTAAGCCATTTATGTAAAACGATACGTATCAATCAGATAATTCAAATCTTTTTTTTTTTTCTTTTTTCTTTGGCTAATTGTCTATTTTGATTCTTATCATCATCCAGAGAAGGTGGATAGCAACACCCTAAATTTTGGCGTCTTACTTCCTCAGTTCATACACTTTCATCGATGGCGTCTTACAATTTTATCTTTTAGATAAAACGTAGATTTAATCCTAAAGTATGCCTTGTTTTTTTACTTTGAGTCCATTAAATTTTAATTTTATTAGTTTGGTCATCAAAATTATCATTTTGAATCAATTTGGTCTTTAACGTGCTTTAACATATTTATGAATAAAAAATAGTATTGATTTCTAAAATATGAATTTCTTGTCATTTTAGTTTTTCAAGTTTAAATTTTATCATTTTAATCGTCAAAGTTGCCAAATTGAGTTAGGACCAAATTGACTCAAATTGAGGACCAAAATGACAATATTTAAAACTTAAGAGACTAAATGACAAGAAATACATACTTTAAGGACCAAAACTGCATTTTATTCATCTTTTGTTATCAGAAGTTGAACCTAAGATCAAATTAATTCAAATTGATAACTTTAAAGATCAAAATGACAAAATTAAAATTTAATAAACTAATGACAAAGAATATATATTTTAAGGATTCAAATTGCCTATTATCCTATCTTAAAATTAGAACTGTCATAATATCCTTATTTTTCTCGGAATCACTATTGGACATCACTACAGCCACACTCACAGTCACCGACTACGAGTCCATCCCCCTCCTCTATCATCGCCAGCAAGAGAGCGCGATCTGGACTTGTGGTGGTGTAAGCCAAATAAGATATTTTTAAAGAATAATATTATATGTATTAATTGATATACTAATTAGTGTACTAATTGATAATGTGACATAATTTAAGAAATTTTTAGAATTCGTAATGTGATTAATGAGTGTGGTCAATAATAATGTTATAATTAGTGTTGGTTGTTGGCTACATATTTTGTACAAGCCAATTACAATTCGACGCGTGACAAAATAAGGATAATATAGGAAGACTATTCAAGTCTTCGATCCTAATCGTACACGTGACAGTTAGTATTGGTTATTACGAGATCTGAATAGCAGTGGATCAACAAAGAGATGTAAGGTGATGTGGCTTCAACGGTTACTCACATTTCAAATTTAAATTTAGGAGAGAAGCCTAACTGCAAGTAATAGCGTAATGGAGCTAATCTTGAGGCAACATGATCAACAATCATGGAGGAGAAGTTCGACAGTTAAAAATGCAGTTCGATGGTCATCCTTGAACAGTATAAATAGTAGAGAAGGCCCTAGAAAAAGCTCTCAGACTCAGATCCAAAAAACCAGTCTTATTATACTTATTTCCCTTTCTAGTTTTACATTTCCAGTCTTACATTTCCTGTACTTTAAATTCCTGCACTGCACTTCGTTCATAGGAGTAGTTTCAAGTAGATTGTTGCTGTAAACCTCTACGAGGCTAAGTTTGGATCATTGTAAGTTTTTCATTTTAATGAAATACTTCGGTTGTTCTTCATTTAATTGTTATTATGTTTAATTTTCCTAAATCAAGCCACCAGTAAAAGTCCTCTTCATTGAAGCTGAAAGAACTAAAACACAATCATTTGATAATTGGTTGGCAATTAATTTTCTGTAAGAACTGATTGATCTTTGCTGGCACGCTCGTAATTACAAAAATAATCTTCGAAAGTCAAAAAGTCAACATATATTTTTGGCACGCCCAGTGGGACTAGTTGAAATGGCTAGACGTAGGAGACAATAAGAAAATGAACGCTTGGAAGAAGGCGTGGAAGGAGAGGTAGAGATACCTAATCCGGAGGATAATGTGATAACACATCCTATGGAAACTCCCATTTTATTAGAATCTATGGTAGAACAGACAAGCACTTCAGAACAAGTACCACATGTTCGTAATATTGGACGAGACCAAGGAATTGGATCATCCACTGTGCCATCTACTCAGCCAATAAATCCATGAGGTGGCCTAGTAGATGCTATGGGACAACAATTAATGAACACAATGGAAAGGTGGGCAACATCCTTTTTGGATCGAATGAATAACCACTAACTAACAAACGTAAGACACATGGAGGAAGTTTCGAATGTCCCTCAGCAAAGATTGGCTAGAGATAAACAGCCTATGCAAATTAATGGACATTCTAATGGTCAAACTAGTAATCAAAACTATGAAAGACCATCACCTCAGTCTTGGTACGAATCTATTCCGAGGCCTATAGCAGGTCAAAATGCCTCAGTACTTAACAGTGAGGCCATGCAATTTGGTGGATCTGGCCCAATACAAGAAAATGACATAAGGATGGTTTCAAATCCCATGTTCGAAGCCATACCTAGCACAAGGGGTTTCACTAATCCCTTATTCGAATTTATACCTGGGGGGTTGGAAGGTTTTCCTACAAATGGAAGAGACACAACACCAGTTCCAGCACCTTTCGCAGGTCCTTTTGCAGGACAAGCTCAAAGAGGTTACCCACACCCCCAACAGTAACCTGCACCACAAGGACAACCAGTCCCAAATATACCACCTTATGGACTAAGAGGACCACAGGCACAAGTTTGCCCACCAAATCCTATGTTTGCCTCTCCAGTAGTGGTTCAGCAAGCACAAAATATGGTCCCTAGAGACCAGATTGCTGATATTGTTAGGGAGATATGTGGACCAATGGCTCGGGGGGTCCAGACTCCTATATACAGAGATCCCTTGGGCTATCATGCCAGAATGGGTAGACAGGGTACATGAATACCCAAGAGGTTTCAGGATACCAGACTTTGCCCTTTTTTATGGGAATGAAAACCAATCAACAGTGGAGCATGTTGTTAGGTTCGTTGTTCAATGCGGTGAATTTACTAATAATGACTATATAAAATTAAGGTTATTCCCAAATTCCCTAACTGGGGGAGCATTTGTATGGTATATTAACCTTACACCTGGCTCTATCCAAACTTGGCAACAAATGGAAGAGGCATTTCATGCCCAATTCTTTCAATCGGAGCTAGAGGTTTCTATGGCAGACTTGGCAAGATTGAGTCAAAGGCTTGACGAGAAGGCTACTCAGTTTATTGCCAGATTTAAAAGGGCTCGAAATAAATGTAGAGTCATCTTGCCAGAGCCAAAATTCGTGAGATTGGCTCAAAATGGCTTAGAGTTTAGGTTTCGAAAAAAGTTTGACTCAACTGAGTTCAGAGACTTAGTGGAACTCACTTATAAGGTGTCTAGATATGAAGCATTACTAGCGGAGGAACAAGATCAAAATAATGCATCGTACAAGACATATTATAGAAATCCTAATTATGAGATCGATGCAGCAGAGATTGTGGGGAAAGAACCTGTGATCTATGAAGCATTAATTCATAAGGATACAACAATTGACCATCAATTTAAAAAGAAAGACCTTCACAGAAAATACTCTTTCGATTTAACTAAGGCAGATGACATTTTTGATCATTTGCTTGCGGCCAACTTTCTTAAGTTACCAAAAGGAGTTAAAATTTCATCTCTTGATGAACTTAAAGGAAAAGTATATTGTAAATGGCATAATTCTTGGTCTCGCTCGACTAAGAACTGTATTGTTTTTCGAGATAGGATCCAAAAACAAATTCGGAAAGGAAGTTTGAAATTTCCAGCCAAAGCTGAAAAGGCCATGGGGATCGACAGTAATCCATTTCCAGAAATTGGAGAGGTGACAGCCAATGTCATTATGCCGGACTTTCAGAACCTGTCTTTAAAAGAATTGAAAAAAGTCAATGTGCAGATGCATGTGGCCAACCAGACAACTATCAAGAAAGATACTGAAAATCTACCAACTATTGGACAAGGTTTCTCACACCAAAGGGAAGACTCTGATGAAGAAGCACTGGATGACGATTCCTTAGAGGCAGCTGTAATGCAAAGGATGTGTCCTAGGTGCAAACTAAGCTACAAGAAATTGAAAGGACTTCCAATTGATGGGAAACAATACTACAAGGATGTTTAGAGACGTCCTGAACCAACCAATGCTTACAATAAAAGGCCATATCCATCTGGTGTCAGGCAGCAGCCATTGAGGGTTGAACCAACAGCTGATAGAATGCATTCCAAAGGCAAGAGGCCTTTACACGAGTCCAGGCCACCTAATTATTACAGAATGGAGAACAGTCATTCTGAGAGGAGATTGGAGAGAGGTTCAGTTTATGGGATCAAAGCCAAAGATTGGCCCGTTAGATCAGCCTCACGCAGGACAGAAAGTGGACACCTTCATCGAAGGCCTGAGTTAGGCCCAAAGCATGAAGTCAGGGCCAAGCAGTGGCCTTCATAGCCAGCTTCGAAGGTGACTTCGAAAGAAGAAAGAAGCAGTGCAACAGTTGGGCCAATAAGTTCGTGGGTACCTGGGGTCTCAGATTGGTTTGTGGTGCAGAACAAACCTAGGGAAGTGTTTACTCAAAGAGATGTAACTGGAAACCAAGGCAGGATGGTCAAGCCTCCTTCGGTGGCTCCAAACAATTGGGTATTGCTTAAGCACCCAAAAATAAAGGAACCAGATATAGTCCCCGTAATTTCTAGATCACAAAGGAGGAAAATTCAGCGTAGGTACACTCAGTACTAGCAAGACTTGAAAGAGAGTGGAGAAAGTTCTTCATTGGTGCAGACAGAAGGAAAGAAAAATCCAAAGTTAGACCATACTCCAAAACCAACTCTACAAGGCAAAATGGGTTGCAGCAGAGAACAGTTGGCCAAAGTTCACTCTGAACTAAAAGCCAGAGAGAAGTCTAGTTTAGCAGGACTGAAGAAGGCATTGATGGAGAGTGACAGCGAGACAGAGAAAGAAGTTGGCTTAGGCCAAAAGAAAGAAATGGTTGAGAAAAAAATGTTAAGCTTTCATGGCTGAACAAATATTTTTTGTTGAAAAGTCGGTCATGGCAGACCATTCGAAGGGTAAAGTGCCAAAAAGCAGCATGGAGGATGCTTCTAGGGTAACTGAAAAGGAGAAACAGACATAGCCAGCCATCCAATTTGCCTTAGTATCAGTGAATATGGTACACATACTACCGCATGAATTCTAAGCTGGAGATGAGAACCAAGAGGACAAGAAATTGACCCAATTCCAGTCTCTAGTGAAGACTCACAAGTGAGTATGGTGTAGGATGAATCTGTAATGGCTACCCCAATGGAAACTGAATATGAGAGTGAAGAAGAGGTAAGCATTAACCTCTCATATCCTTTTGAGTATCCCTCGGATTCTATGACGCAGCATGTCAAGTCTTTGTATATCAAGGCCTTTTTTGATGGGATACAATTGAACCAAGTCTTGGTAGATAATGGGGCAGCGGTGAACTTACTACCGAAATCTTCTTTGAAGATACTAGGGAAAAAGAATCATAGTTTAATCCCAACCAGTACAACCATTGCTAGTTTCGCTGGAGACAGACAGATGGCTCAGGGAATTCTGTCCATTAACCTAAGTGTGGGAACCAGGGACTGCATGACGGCGTTCTTCGTGATCGACAGTAATGCTAAGTACAATGCTTTACTTGGTAGAGATTGGATCCACACTAATAAATGTGTGCCTTCCTCTTTGCATCAGAAAATAATGATGGCCTTAGGCAATGGAGAGATAGAGGAAATTGATGCAGATCCTCAACCTTTCATAGCCTGCGCAGACTTCGCAGAGGCCAAGTTGTATATTGAGAGAGTGACACCACTCAGTATACTGAGAAAACCTGATGGCTCAGCCGAAGTGACGGCTAATGAGGAAGTGACACACCTGAAACACTTAGTCCATGAGAGTGCTGATGAAGAGGTTGTCGTTAAAAATGACAATGATGCCTAGTTATAGGCAAAGAGGCCAAGCACAAGAAGCCAAGTCTTTGGCTCTAATTAAGTTCTCAATATTGGATGTAAAATCAATAGTCC